AAATCAAATGCTGTTATACCAAATTGTTTGGCGGTTATGACCAAGTGTCAGAATTTTACACAAACTACCGCAACAAAATAGTTGAAGAATACCACAAAAAAATTGATAGAGCAACCGACACAAGGACAATATTTACGAATTATCTTGATGAGCATATGAGAAAAGTAACAGATGCCATAAAGCAAATTACAAAATACATTGCAAGCAACGAAGAACACAACAAAGTTGAACATCAACTGTATTCAGCAGAAACCTCATCTTGGATACAACGAAGAATGACAGACATTGTATTCAATGATGCATACTCGTGGGAAAGATATATGGATGCGAGGTTTCCGTATTTATCAAAAGAGGAATACACAAAAAGAATGAAAAAACACAACCCCACAAGGAAAAACCGTTCCGCAAGAAACGATGAAGATTATCTTAATAGCATCAGCATAAACGACTTCTAACATAATATATTAACAATAATATATTGTTAATATATTATTATACAAGGGTGCCACAGCAATGCTCTGGCAGGCAGTGTTTCAACACTGCGTGCCACAAGTAGGTTCATAATGTCCTGAGACACCCGTTTGGACAAAAGGTCTTAAAGACAAAACACCTTAGTATAGTAGGAAGATGGACTACACTACTTTGAAGACATATAACATTCAGTTAAAATATATCAAAAAGATTTATTACATTAAAGTAAATAAAAATTGCCTAAGGTCTAAATTACTTGAACTAAATAAACTCATGGAAACTCATAAGGACCTTCTGGATGAAGAAGACAAGGAGAACATTAGAAATGATATTAAGATGATAAAGGAAAAACTTGAAAAAGATGAACTAAATATTACAAAGTTCGCAACACTCATAGAACATATTGAGACATTGGTTCATTGTGAAGGTAATGGTTTAGAATATTTGGATCAAAAACCAAAATCTACTAAGATTTGGATAGATAGGACAATAGAAGAATTTGAAAAAGAATATCGTGAGAGGTTAAAATAAATTTTGCTTTAATAATAATAATGACATTTATTTATTATTATTATTCTATCTACCGACCATGCGCAAGTTCGCTGTTTGATTTACGGGGAGTTACTTGGTGGTTTTGGTATAGGGGTATTCGTTTGAGGTGGCGAGGTGGTAAATAGATGATTTGTGGTAAAGCGTCTGGACTTAAAGACAAGTCAAGAATATATTATGAGATTATGAGTTTTCGCAACTGTCGGTATTGTCATAAAGAATATCCTATGGAGATGCTTGTTATTGTAAAGCGTGGATGCCCACAATGTCCCGAATGCACACCAGAGGTAAGAATTGCAAGAACAAAGGAAAAGGATAGAATTAGACGAGAAAACAACCGAGAACGAGAACGTGAAAGATGGAGAACATATTATGCTGAACATCGTGAAGAAATCCGTGCAAGGAAAAACGAATACAACGAAACATATAACCAAATTGAACTTGCCTGTGATGTATGCGAATGCCAAGTTAGAAAATGTAATTGGTCAAGGCATAGTAAAACGCAAAAGCATAATGATAATCTGGAATGTAAGAGGAAAGAAGAAGAAAAGATGAGCAAGATGAATGAAGAGGAATTGGATGAGTATATCAAGATTAAGAAATTGAAGAAGATATGGAAGACAGTTAGATTGTAAATGATTTAGGTTATTCATTTTATAAATTGACAACCTATTTCATTTTTCGTTCATTGGAAAATTATTTGTGGTAAAATGTGTGGTAATGTGGGGTTTGTATCAGGTGGCAAAGTGGTAAATGAAAATGTGCGAAAATGGCCAAATCGGAGCAACGAACCTACTTATGGCTGTTGCTTGCTGTAACTCCCTTTACCCTGAGATTAATTGTACATAATATCTGCCTATATAGAATGACATACTATGTCACATAAATGTTGTCACATATATATATATATGTATGGTCACACCCCCCCCCCCCCATGATCCATATGTATCCTTTTCTTGCTTGTCCTTCTGCACCTGTGCTTATTTGCACATATGGTTGATGTGAAAAAACACCGGTATTTACGATACTTTCGTGTCTTGCCATGTCTGAAGCTACAACTTGCTATTGATTATCTACACTTTTAAACAACAGAAATCTACAAACAGAATCCGTTTCTGGATTTGGTTTGTGTGGTTTGCTAATCTCTGTTATTCACTCTATAGTAGCTTCCAATATACACCTTCTTGAACTTCAACAATATTCATTGATTAGATAAATATTACCTTATAAACCATTGTATAATGCATGAACATAAAAGAAGAGATGAAGGGGTTTCAAATAAAGCACCTAACACAAGAAGCAGACTACATAATGAAGTTAGAGACGAATTCGCAGAGACAGAGACATTCTTAACGGACACGCAAGGACTTAAATTAGCGTATGAGAATCCTGACGGGATATATCAAAAATGGTTCTATTTTATACATTGCTGGGACTAAAAGCTGTAGAGATGTTTATGGTGATTGAAACCTTCCTTTATATAAGACGCAACTGACTCAGTGTTATAAAGATGTAGATAAGTTCATTCAAGATGGTTTTATTGAAATAGACGGTTAAAGAAAAGAAGAAGCTGGAATTTCTGGTATTGTAAGTCACAGTTTAGGTTCAGCATCGGGACAACAAATAAACAATGATTATGGGAATGTATTCAGAAGTCGTAGCTATGGTTCTCCTTATGTATCAGGACAACGACCAGAAGACACTGGGACAAAACATATGAATACGGAAAGTAGAAGACCCCGTTAGTATATTTGAAAAAGGAAGTATAACATCAAAGAAATCAACATTAGACCCTCTACAAAAACATCCCCAGGACATCTACCTATAACCGAAGAAGAGTTTTTAACAACAGTTTGATGCCATAATCATTTCATAAGAAAGCAACAACATACGAACAAATAGAGACATCGAAGATAGAGAAGCAATTTAAACAACATGCTTACGAAGAGATAAGAAAGTTAGTTGAGAATAATTAAGTAGATGAAGCAGTTAAGCAGGTGAAAGGTAGGAAGAAGAATAATAGTAAGACACTTCATATAGTTTTGAATTACTTGATTGAGTACAAGTTGAAGGTATGTATATGTAATCAAATTATCTATGCTATTTATATATCATGGAAACTTTTAGTCCCGCAGATATCCTCATTGATAGTTTAAGTTTTCTTTGACACAAAGGTAGTTCTTATGTTAATTGTCAAGGGTTTAAGACCAAAACGATTGTTGGATTTAAACCATTGCGTGGCCTCTTCTCACAAGTTAGATATTTGCCGTCAAAAAATATGGGAAACTTACCAATTGAAATAGAATTGGTAACTAATGCTACTGATTGTAGTCAGAATATCAAGAGATTTCGGGAAAACTCGAGCCGGCTCGAATTTTCCGAAAAATCTCCAGGCACCAGATCACCACAACTCGAGCAGGCTCGAATTTTCCAAAAAAAACCTACATTCTGTCATCTATGAGACCTTGGGGTCACACAGCCATGGTTTCAGCATATTTTTTAGAAAATTCGAGCCGGCTCGAATTTTCCGAAAATTCTTGAAGCTCCAGGTCTCGAAAACTCGAGCAGGCTCGAATTTTCCAAAAAAATCCTAAATTATGTCATCTATGAGGCCTTGGGGTCACACAGCTATGGTTTCAGCATTTTTTTTAGAAAACTCGAGCCGGCTCGAATTTTCCGAAAATTCTTGAAGCTCCAGGTCTCGAAAACTCGAGCAGGCTCGAATTTTCCAAAAAAAACCGAACTTTCAGGATCTACTGGAGCCATAGATCCTGAAATTTAGGTTTTTTTTTGAAAATTCGAGCCTGGTCGTGTTTCGGCAATCTACTGTGTCAGTTTTTTTGGAAAATTCGAGCCGGCTCGAATTTTCCTAAAATTCTTGAAGCTTTAGGTCCCAGAAACTCGAACTTTCAGGATCTACCGGGCTGCTGGATCCATAGGTCCTGAAATTTAGGTTTTTTTTGAAAATTCGAGCCTGGTCGTGTTTCGGCAATCTACTGTGTCAGTTTTTTTTTGGAAAATTCGAGCCGGCTCGAATTTTCCTAAAATTCTTGAAGCTTTAGGTCCCAGAAACTCGAGCAGGCTCGAATTTTCCAAAAAAAACCTAACTTTCAGGATCTACCGGGCTGCTGGAGCCATAGATCCTGAAATTTAGGTTGTTTTTGGAAAATTCGAGCCTGGTCGTGTTTCGGCAATCTACTGTGTCAGTTTTTTTTGGAAAATTCGAGCCGGCTCGAATTTTCCTAAAAATCTTGAAGCTTTAGGTCCCAGAAACTCGAGCAGGCTCGAATTTTCCCAAAAAAACCTAACTTTCAGGATCTACCGGGCTGCTGGAGCCATAGATCCTGAAATTTAGGTTTTTTGGAAAATTCGAGCCTGCTCGTGTTTGGGCGACCTACTGTGTCAGTTTTTTTTGGAAAATTCGAGCCGGCTCGAGTTTTCTAAAAAAAGCATGATTTGTTCGGGTATTTTTCTACCTTGTTGGTGTAAATGACCTGCCTGACTTGAAATGATATAGGTTTTTATCGGCCCTGTCGGTGTTTTTGTCGCTAGCTCATAGCCCCCTCTCCTCCCAAGATCCATCTGTTTCGAAGCAGAAACGTGGATCATGGGGGGGGGGGGGGGGCGTGAGCATATATATATACTAATGTTAATAATCATATTCATAGTAATATTGATATTCAGGTCAATATTGATATTGATATTCATATTAATATTAATATTATTATTGTATGAATATTATATGAATATTTTATTAATATTATACTTTATTTATATATTATATTAATATTATATTAACATTATATTAATATTGTATTCATATTATATTAATATTATATTAATATTATATTAACATTATATTAACATTATATTAACATTATACTAATATGAATACGAATATTAATTATCAAGTATTATGTGGCATAGAGAATATAATCATTTTGCTCGCAGGCTTTAAGCAAATCTTTACTCAGCTCGGC